ATGGAAGACAATCTTCAAATCTTACAAAACTCTAAAAACAAAGTATCCAATCTCTCTCACTCGTGTTCTCTCCGTTAGTTCGATGAAAAACGGCTTTTTTTAGGTCTGGGGCGGCTAGAATTTATATGGGAAACCCTCGGTGGCGAAAATATGTTTAATGAAAATTTCCAAAAGTGGATTTTCTGCGGAGCAGGTCAGCCGATCAGGAGCGGGTACTCCTTATCTTCAGAATCTTCAAAAAGTTCCAATTTCCCTCCTTTTTTGCCAAGTCTCTTCATGAGCTTCAATCCTCCATTCCAGCCGCTTTTTGACCTAAAATGACTTAAAATAGAATGAAAGACTCGATAAAAACCTACAAAACAAGGGTTAGAATGCGCCAAAAACACATTATCTCAATACTTCTCTTTATATATGTTGTATAATGTTATATTGCTTAAAGCCTCTGAAGTGCTCTTACTACAGAAGCACTTCAGAGGCTTTAAGCAACATATATTAAAAAAATAGAATAATTCACGCGGATTTAACCAAATGGATATTGAATACAATTGATCACAATATTCGTGTTTCGATTTGTCAAATTTCAAGCTTTAAAAAATTTACAAACACAGTAATAGTAGTTTGGTGCAATGTGTTAACGACAAAGTCGACACTACAGGAGAAATTTTTAGAAACGACAAAATTTTTTACTTAATTACGATATAAAATTTGATCTAATGACCAATTCAATTTTTTTGTTAATTGAACTGTAAATGAAATTATTGTTAATGTTATTAATGAAAATAAAATTAGTGCAAACAAACGGAAAGAAAAAATAATATTATTTCATATAAATAAAATTGAACTTAAATTCAAATTGAACATCATTAGAAATTTTTAATCACGTAATAATATTTTTTAATTTATTTGATTTCTAAAAAATATTTAACCGCGTATAACGTGAGGAGTCACCTAGTACTTAATTTATTTGAAAGTCACTGGTTATAGTAAGGAATCTATTATTGTCCTTTTAAGCACGTAAGTCAAGAAGGTCCAAGCTTTAACGCCATAATCACCATTCCATTTAAAATAAGGGAATTACGTACACTAACCTACATTTAACCACTTATTACTAAACTAACTCTTAGTTATAGTTAAGTAAAAAAAATCAGAGTAAAAATCATATAGACTATGGTAATAAATTATAATTACCGTAATACCATTTCTTTTATTTTTTAG